CGTGTTGAAAATCAAATCATTTGACTAAGACATTCCACAAGGAGGTTGATAACTAATTTAGAACATAATTAAATGAAAGTAAATGCACGAAAACATAAAGAAAGTATTTTTCATTGAATTTAAATGAATAAATAAGTCGTACAAGGAGTTCTAGCTTGACCCTCTTCTCTCTCGAGCGTGAGGGGAGTTGAAACTCGCTAAAGAACTTTAAAAGAATAGAATGAACAAAGAACGGAAGTAAGAAACTGAATTAAAAGCACTACGAAAGGTAAAAGCGTGAAAAACGAAGAAATAAACAACTAGAACATGAACATAAACCCTAAAAACGTGTTCTACAACTAGAAAACATCTAAAAGAAGATGAAATGAAGCTTGGAAGGGATGATTTGCGGAGGGATGGATGGCTTCCTTTTATAGCACCATGGGTTGGTTGAAACTCCTCTCCATTTTAGGTGGAAAAGGGTTGAGAATCACCTAACCACCTCTCTTGGACTTGGACTCACGGTTTTTAACATGTGGGAAATGTCCTCCTTGCCCTTCATTAATCAAAACGTGCGTTTTGACAAATTGCCCTCCAAAAATGCGCCGGGCGCAATTCTGCAAAAGACAGAATTCTGTTATTTTCTTTCAACTTTGACTGCATTTATCTCATATTTTTCCTAAAGTACCATAGTTTGACTTTTATGCATAAATAATCTATGTATGTTCTACTTTAAGAATATGTGGTTCTTTTTGGCAAATAATAATGGGAAATGGGTCAAAACATGGTCAAACAGGACTACCGACACATGTTTCTGCAGTAAAAAGTCAACCCTAACACTCCCGTATAAGATGGTACTTCTTATCGATATGCTTGCCCCTCTTGTGGCTTCGAGGTTCTTTAGAATTTGCCACAGCATCACTGTTATCACAATAAAGTGTGACGGACAAGTTCATGTTTGGAACGACTTCCAACTCGGTTAAAAACTTCCTAAGCCAAACTGCTTCTTTTTCTGCTACACAAGTTGCAACGTACTCGACCTCTATGGTGGAGTCTAAGATGCATACTTGTTTGATGCTTCGCCTAACTACTGCTCCTCCATTAAGAGTGAATATTGATCCCGACGTAGATTTCCTAGAATCCTTGTCTGTTTGGAAGTCAGAGTCAGTGTATCCTGTAAGGATCAAATCTTTAGAGTCATACACAAGCTTGTAGTCCTTCGTTCTCCTAAGATACTTGAGGATTCCCTTAACAGTAGTCCAGTAATCAATCTATTCTACTGTTCCGAGGGTCGTTGACCTAATCTTTACTTTGGGGTGTACCCCTGGGAGTCAGAGATAGTCCAAATGAGCTTGAGGGATTTCTCCAATCCGAGAGGGTGCGCTAACTTGGGATAGTCCGACATTGCTTACCAACCGCACAGCTCAACCCACTCGTACTTTGCCTCAAGGGGTTATATGAATAATTGAATATTTAAGAAAACTTGAAAAGTTTTAGTTCAGAAAGAAAAACTAAAGTAAAAAAGTTTTAAAGGTAGCCTATTAAAATTTAGAAGAATTTATGAGACTTATTAGTTGTGGTTTTCTAATATATATATATAATTTAAGGATATATATATATATTATTACCTACTTTGTATTTTCAATAAGAAAAAAATATTATTTTATATTATAAATTAATATTTATAATTAAAAATTAAAATAAATAGATAATAAATATTATAGCATATATATTATATGAAAAATATGAGGTCTTCTAAATTTATGACTCTAGACAATCGCCTCGCTACTCTATAGTTAAGTCAATCTTGAACTATACATTAATATAGCTTTAGAGCATATGGGGAACTAATGAAGGATATTTTAACCAAAAAAGAGAAGGCTGACACAGTACCAAAGAGTGACACTTACAAATAAAAACCCTTAATAAGATACAAATGCTGTAGTTTAACACCTCCAATTAAATGGGAGCTTAAATTAAAAGTGGGGAGGGAGGAGGGGTAGAATCGTCTAAATAAGGACATTTTTCTAATTATTTGGCATTTTGACAAATCTGAAGTATGGGAAGGCGATAGTGGTAGTGGTAGGGTGAATGAATTCATGAAATCGAAACTCGGTCACGGTCCAACTCCCACTTTCTTCCACGGGAGCAATTGTGCGAAACGAAATCCTTTCGATAATGAAATTGAATAGGTTTACGATACATGAAATTGAATAGGTGTGAGTTTGGAGTGTTCCAATTTGTAGCGAATTTGGGTTTTTGTGTAGATGCCAATGACGGATCAGAGTCTTGAGTTGCAGGAATCCGGTTGGGAGGAGTTGAGGCGCGAGGCACGGAAGATCGAGGGCGATCTCGATGTCAAGCTCTCCTCCTACGCCAAGCTTGGCACTCGGTTCACTCAAGGAGGTCAGCTTTCCTAAATCCCACCATTTTCCTGCACATTCACTACTTTATTATGCATTCTAATCGCTGTATCTGTATGTAATTCCTACTTGGTACGCCTTCAATTTCATGGAACTGGCCCTTTTCCTGTGCTCGAACAACCGGGGGTTGTTTTGTTAACTAAATTATAGCTTCATTATTACTAAATTGTAGTCTTTGTTCCTAGATTAGATTGTAAGGATGATAGTTTTTGCACTTGTGATCAGGTTATGTGGATTCTGGTTCATCGCCTGTTGGTTCCAACAGATCTTGGAAGTCTATGGAAATGGAAATTCAATCTTTGCTTGAGAAATTGTTGGATGCTAATGATTCAATGAGTCGATGTGCTGCATCTGCATCACCAGCTACCTCTGTAAATCAAAAACTTGCAAGACACAGGGATATCCTTCATGACTTTACACAGGTTTTGACTTTCTTTTTCTTTTCTTTTAGTATGATCCAGATCTTAATGATTATTGATGATTTAAAGTTGCAAATTCTTTGATTCAACTTAGTGGTTGTGGTCTTAATGCCATTATTTTGGGTCTTCGGTTTTAAATTTATCAAAGGCTATTTAAAGGAATGCATATTGATTGGGAGTAAAGAGTTGAGTTAGCAAGATATCATGCTACTTCGACTTCTATGACATTATTTTCTATAGGTTGTACAACTATATACTTGAGTTCTAAAGAGACAAGATATCATGCGTCTTTCTTTGGAGTACATTTTCATTTACTTTATTCAGTTTTACTTGTGAAACTCTCTAAACACTTTGCCCTAATCCCTCTTTGACACAATCCCAATTCCTGAAATATGCCATAGTAAAATCGTCAAGACCAGGTGTCTTACTATTGTCAAAACTAAAAACCAGCTTTCTGACCTCTTTTAAGGCTTCACCCATTTCCTATCATAGGTCCACCAATGACTGTACTTGCAAGTGGAAGGGGAGATCTTGAGTAGGTTGTAGACGTCCTCTCTAAAACTCTGAAAATTGAATTCTTTCATCGTTAACAGTTCACTTTTATTAGATATACCTGGCACTGATTTGATGACTGTACTTGCTAGAGGAATTTGGTTTTTTGAGAACAAACAAGATGGAGGTGGTGATATTTTGTCTCCCAAAAAGACAGTCCAACAAAAGAAGTCAAAATAAGACCTAAGATAACCAATCAAAAAAGGTCTCCAATCCAAATTGAAATAATATGTGAGATTTTCTCGTCTGTTGTTCCTCACCAAGAGTTTTGAGATGTTCCCATTTATTTATGATGGTGGATTGGAGTAATTTTTCTCTTTATAACTTTTATTTAGCAATGCAGGTTTGAGATGATCCAGACCTCTCTCAAAGTCTGGAAATTTTATTCGTCCATTGTTAACAATCCACTCGCCTTTGGATATAATTTTTGTTTTTAATAAGAAACATTGAATATACTGATCAAATGAGCATATACAGAAAGGGGAGATGAGATTATCCACACAAGACCAATGGGTTACAAAAATGTTTCCAATTGGCATAAACATGTAAAAGCATATAATTACAGAAGTATTTAGAAAGAAGGCACTTGAAAGACGAGTAGAGTTTCATAAGGTCTCAAAAGTCCTCTACGCTAGAGTGAGCCCCTTAAATGATTCTCTAATTTCTCTTAAACCTCAGTCGCCAAAGAGTAGCAACCACTGCATTGGTCCATAAAATTCTAGCATGATCATTTAGGTTGGGTCCTATGAGCAGCTGGATGACAGAACTATCATAGGACTTTGGGAATTACCGACTCTTACCAAAGACATTAAAAAGCTTAGCCCAACAAGCAGTAGCAAAGGGGCAATGGATAAAAACGTGGAAGTGGCTCTTTGTGTATCTTCTGCACAGAATACACCAGCTGGGTTGGAGTCTGCAATTTGGCACTCTTCTTTGGAGCTTGTCACACGTGTGTTCAACTTGCCTTGTAACAGAATCCAGAGTAAAATTTTCACTTTTTTGGGAACTTTGGACTTCTAGATTAGCTTATTTAGGTCTGGGTCAACTGACTATGCTTAGCAAACAAGTTAAGGGTGCCTAATTTGACAGGAAAAGCAACCACTGCTATGTATTTTACCGAAAAACCAATTACTGTTGAAAACGTGCAAAACTGGATTTGGCTTTTTGGAACAAAGAAGATGGAGTTGGATCAAGAGGAATAGTAGAATTTTCAATGGAGGAGAGGTCTTGGGGGAAGTTTGGGATCTAGTTAGATTCAATACCTCTTAGTGTGTGTTGGTTTCTAAGGCTTTTTCTAATTACCATGAGACCCTCTTTTGGATTGTGGTCCTTTCTTGTAGGTGGATCCCCTTTTGGTCGGCTTGTTTTTTTTATGCCCTCTTGCATATTCTTTCATATTTCTTAATGAAAGCTCAGTTTCATATAAATAAATAAATAAAAAAAAAACAAACAAACAAGATGGAGGTGGTGAGGTTTGGGAATGTGTGAGATTTTCTCTGTTGCTGTTCTTCACCAAAGTGTTTTTCGATGTTCCCATTTCTTTATTATGGTTGATGATTGGAGTACTTCTCCTAATAAAACTTATTTAGCAATACAGGTTTGAGATGGTTATCCAGTCTTCCCTTCCTTTTATACCTCTTTTTCATTTTCAATACGAGACTACTGTCTCTTATCTTAAAAATAAACCCTTCCTGAATAATATATAATGTTCTGAAATATGTTTAGTTAATAAACAGTGTCACAAATATTCCTCCGGTCCTTGCTAGTCAAGAATGATTGAGTACGAAGGTTTCAGATTCCATTGATATTTATGCATTTAATTTTTCCTGTAGGATTTTGTCAAACATGCTTGAGTTCCATGGCTTGACATTAATCATCTTACCCAAAATACTTCATGTATGTATATATTTGTCACTGATGAAATATTGGAGTGAAATTTTAAAATGCTATTGTGAACTTTAAGGTAATTATTTGACCTCATGGTTTTCCTACATTCTAATAATATCTGATTGGAACTTGAAATTGCATACTTCGTTTTTGTTTTCATGATTGACGTATCCACCTTGCTATTTCTTTCATAGAATTGGTATATTCGGCAACATTGGAGTAATAAAAGAATGAGCGATATCTATGTGCTTCAGGAATTCAAACGAATTAAAGGAAACATTAACTCAATGAGGGAACATGCCGAACTTTTGAGTTCTGTCAGGGATGACATCAGCGAGTATAAGGTTAGGCGGTTAGGCCGACCAAACTTCTTGACATTGTTACGATAAATGTGTTTACAGAGCATATTCGTGCATGTTTGAAACTGATGCCGACCCCATATCTTTGTTTGGTACAGTCATCTGGAACCATGTCACCAAAGATGCAGTTACTGCGGGAGAGAGCTTCTATTCATGGAAGTATTGCTCATGTAAGCCTAAATACAATATACTAGTGGTCATGTCTCTATTTATGAGCAATGGGCGGTTTGCTGGACGTGCAAAAATCAATTAACTGCACTAATCCAAAAAGAAACCCAACTTTGTTGATTCATCTATATTAGTGTTTCACATTTTACTCAAGTATGGTTTGAGTTCAAATATAATTTTTTTAACTTATAAAACCCAAGAGGTAGACCACTAATCTTGTTGGTGGATTTCAATATGTAGTCTAGTATGGTATTGTAATATTATTCATGTTTTTCCTTGTGCAGATGGATGAAGTGATAAGTCAAGCCCAAACTACAAGGGCAGTGTTGGGCAATCAAAGGGCTATGTTTGGAGATGTTCAAGGGAAAGTGAAGCTTCTAAGTGACAAATTTCCAGTTATTCGTGGCCTCCTAGGTAATTTAGAAACACAAGTTTAAACCGTTTTGTCATTGTTATGTTCTGGTCGGTGTCTGCTAATAATAGTTTGCTGATGTCTGGAATCAGGTTCAATTAGAAGAAAGCGTTCGAGGGACACTCTTATTCTGTCTGGAGTCATTGCAGCTTGTACCTTGTTTCTCATTGTCTATTGGCTTTCAAAATGATTACAAGAGGTGCAAATTTAAAAGTATGGAGTTTTGTTTTTGTAATTTTTTCTTTTTTTAAGCGACATCGTGCGTGAATTGAAGATTTCTACCGTTTTTCTTGTGCCATAAGAATCAAAGCATGTTTCTTTCTGTCACCATTCTGGAATTTCAATTGAAGGTGAAAATTTGAAGCCTTCATGCTAACATCTTGTCCTTGGGAATTCTATTAGGAAATTTTGAAACATAGGAACTAATAAGATTAAGATTGGGCCCAAAAAAGTTCATTGATTGTTGCAAAGAGAGAATACAAACTTTTTCTTTAATATTTTTTCAATTACATATGGAGGTTGGTTTGATACAAGAAGCAATACATTACTAAAATTTCAACATATTTTTAGTGTTCTACGTAAATCTCCTCATTTGGCTCGTCCTCCTTCGTCAATAGAGCCTTCTTTGCCATCGTCTATCAAAAGCTTCAAATTCTCCAACATGAGATATTGGTTGATGATTTGTACTAAATAAATGGAAGACGCCCATCTCTCAATAATATCATCTCTCAATGGATGATACACATTGGTTGCCATTTTGACATCATATGTCAATTTTCTTGAGGTAATATGTTGGTGTCATCTCTGAAGAGGCGAAAGTTGTAGTTCAATATTTCATCAATGAATTCGTTGTTATAGTAAATATGTATGTTGGCAGCTATATCTCTGATCAAGGAGTTGTAGGTTYAAGTACATACTCCAATGTGTATGTAAATATGCTGTAGCCACTGGATCTAACATTTTTGTTTAAGATGATTTTTTTTTTTATTAACATATGATGAAGTTAAAAGAAAAAATTGTGCTTTAAACGATTAATCTTCAAATTGTTGATTCCTTTGAAACTCTACAAAATTCAAATTCAAAGTTATATAAAAGAAAAACAATTTAATTTAAAATTTTTATGATTTATAGAAAAAAATATATCAGTACAATAATTTATAGAAAAAATATTGCCCATATACAGTGACAATGTAGGAATTGAAAATAAAAGTAAGTTTTGAAATTGATAATAATAATTATAGTGCAGCCAAATGAGCATAGCTCAACGATAATTGACACCTTCCTCCAACCACGAGGTTATGAGTTTGAACCTCCATCCCATAAGGTGAAATTATATATATTAATAGTTCATAGATGCTGAATAGGTGTAGTTTTGTGAACGGTGGTGTGTAAAGTGCTGAAATATATTATCTTGGATTGGACATAGGTGTTTAACTTTGACTTGTCCTTAACCACTCCAAAGTCGCAACCTAACAAAATTTTGTAATTATAACGTGGGCCTATTTGTGAATTGTGACACCCACCCATTTCATTGCCCATCACTTGAGTGACTCTCTTCTTTCTTCCCCTTCTATTTGCAGTTGCAGGTTGCAGGTAAGTTACTTAATCTCTCTGTCTCTCTATTCCATAATTCCACCACTCTTTATTCAACATTAAATACTTTTATTTAGACACTAAATTAACTAAACTAGACGCAGAGCTGACTGGATATGTTTTTTTTTCTTTTATATTAATTCCATAATATTATTTGTGGTAAAGGAAAGTTAATTATTATTCTATTTCTCCCTCTACTCTAAACGAACAGACCTTATTCAAAGTGAAGCTAATCAAAGACATGAGTTTCAGAAGAGTGCTTTACATCTAGTTTCAAGTGGTTTCTGGAAACAAAATTTGGCAGATTTTTAGAGGGAGAGAATGAGACCCGGGGGAAGACTTTTGGAGAGAGAGAGAAATCATTATTTTTTCTTTTTAATTGTCTTATTATTACTTTATTTAATTTCTATTTCTATATTACTAATTAATTTTTATGTTGCTTTAAACTTCTGTGTTATTGCTAACATTTCTATATTGAGCTTAATTCTACCGCAATTTACACTCATCTCTAATTAAGAGATCATAAGTTCAAATCCTTCCACCTCCAGAGATTCTATATAACATTTTCCTTTCTATTTTTCCTCTTTCTTCTTCGATTCATATGGCTAGTGATAGTAAAATTTAAGAGTTCAATTATTAACTTGAGTTGAAATATGTATGTATCTCGTGCATGCTGAAGAAGATATTGTTGGAAAGGTTGATAAGCCCTCACTAAAATTTACCAACTTTAAAGAGAAGAAATTTGACCTCTTATGAAACTCAAGAACACACAAGAGAAAAATATTGTTCTCTTTTCTTTCTTGATTGAAATGCTTCAATTTCCTTTTTCTTGGTTTTAAATGAGGGAAGTGATCCCTTTATATAACATTCAAGAGACACCTCTAAAAGACACAAAATAAATATAGATACATGTATACACACCATTCATGTATCTCAATACATTAACTTACATGGAACTAACAAATCATGTACCTAGGAATTCATGCATGTGTATAGAAATGAATCTACTAGCTTAAATCTAACATCACCCTTAAGCTAGACTTTCATAACTCCAAGCTTCTCCTTCATTTTCAAGAACAAGTCTATCTTCAATGCTTTTGTAAATATACCTGCAACTTGATCTTGTGTCTTGCAATACTTGATGCATACTTCTTCATCTTTGATCAATTCTATGATGAAACGATATTTGGTCTTTATATGTTTACTCCTTCCATGAAAAATTGGATATTCTTCGAAAGAGACATTGATGAGGTATTGTCACAAAACATGATACTCCCTTTTTCTTGAGGACACTTCAATTCATGTAGCACCTTTCTCACCCAAAGTGCTTGACAACTGGCTGTAGATAAAGAGATGTATTCAGCTTCGGTTGTTGACAATGCTACAACATCCTGCTTCTTTGATGCCCATGAAACTGCTCCATAACCAATACTAAACACATATCCAGAAGTGCTTTTATAATCATCCATATTTCCTCCCCAACCACTATCACTATATCCAACAAGAACATTATCCATGTTCTTCTTAATTCCATGATAAATAGTTCCATTGAACATATCGAAGAACTCTTTTTCCAGCTTCCTAAGGACTTCTCTTTGGTGATGCCTTAAATCTACTCAATAAACTGACTGAAAATATATGATCAGGTCTAGTTGTAGTTAAATACATTAAACTTCCAATGAGACTTCTATAGATGGTGGCATCAAAATCTTCACTCTCATCATACTTGCTCAATATCAAACCTACTTCTATAGGAGTACTGGCAGGATAAGCATTCTCCATTTTGAACTTGAACAACAAATCCTTCACATACTTCTTTTAGAAAATATTAATCACAATATCACTTTGCTTAACTTCAATGCCAAGAACGTAATGAAATAAGCCCATTTCATTCATATTAAATTCTTTCTTCGTGCTCTCTTGAACTCTTCAAGCTTCATGTTGAAGTTTCCGAAAATATTAAATCATCGACATATAAACAGATGATCAAGAGAAATTACCATTTTTGTCTTCTTTAGTGTAGAGAGCATGTTCATATGGACATCTTTTGAAATAATTCTTTAGGAAGAAGCTATCAATACGACTATACCAGGCTCTCGGTGTTTGCTTTAGCCCGTACAATACTTTCTTCAATTGACACACCTTATTCTCGTCTCTAATCTTCACAAAATCAGGGGGGTAGCTCAACATATATCTCTTCCTCCAAGTTCCCATTTAGAAAAGTTGACTTGACATCAATTTGATTATTTTCCAGTCATTTTATGCTGCAAGAGCTAGAATCAATTGAGCAGTCTCCAAGCAGATCACAGGTGCAAAAATTTATTCATAATCCACATCATACTTCTGCTTGTACCCTTTTATGACGAGTCTTGCCTTGTATTTATCAACTTCATGATTTTGCTTCAACTTCGTTTGATAGACCCATTTGACTTCAAGAGCTTTTCTATTCTCCAGTAGGTTGACTAACTCTCATGTCTCATTTCTTCTAATTGCATCGATCTCTTGATCAATTGCAACCTTCCATTTTTCATCTTGAATTGCCTTCTCAAAGTATATAGGATCAACATCTGCAAATAAATCAACATGTTCATCTTCAGGTATTCTTCTTGAAGCATTATAGATCTCTTGAATATTCCTCATCTTCCTTGGTGGAGTTGATTCATCACTAGTGGAAAGTGGAGATGAAGGTGAAATTTCTGGTTGAATCTCTTCAAGCTCCGAATCTTGAGCATCTCCTTTGTCATTCATGTCAACAAGTAATGGATTATGATTTCTATTGTTGCATCTCATCTCCAAAATTCTGCTTCATTGAATATGGCATCTTGGCTGATAATAATTTTCTTGCATATAAGATTGAATAATCTATAAGCCTTAGAGCTCTCTCTGTACCCAACGAAAATGCATTTTTTTTTATTTATCATCTAGCTTACCTCTTTTCTCATTAGATACATGAGAAAAGCAATGCAACCAAATACTCTTAAGTGACTAACAGTTGACTATAATCTGCTTCATGCTTCTTGAGGAGTAAGACCTTGAACACTTTTGGTTGAAGCCCGATTTAAGAGATACACAGCACATGTTACTGCATCTTCCCAAAATTCATTTAGAAGATTCTTGGTCTTAAACATACTTTTGCAAGCTCCATTATTGTTTTGTTCTTTCTCTCTGCAACTTTGTTTTGTTGAGGAGTTCTTTGAATAATCTTTTGATGCTTGATTTAATTTTTCTTAAAAAAATCTTCAAAAGCAATATATTCTCCTCTACAATCAGAATGCAACATTTTCAATTTCAAGTTGCTTTCATTTTCAATCATTGCCTTGAATGTTTTGAAATACTCGAAAGTAGAACTTTTTTCTTTTAACAGGTAAATCCATGTCTTCCGACTATAGTCATCAATAAATGTCATAAAATAACGATTACCTCCAAGCGTAGTAGTTCGTATGGATCCATATAAGTCTGTATGGACTAGCTCGAGAGGTTCTGATGCTCTCCAAGAACCTCCTGTTGGAAATGGATTTTTCAATGATGCTTTCCCAAAATACATGCTTCACAAAGTTGATCTTCCCTTTTAATATTTGGCATTCCTCTCACCATATGTTGCTGACACATGTTAGACAAAGTGTCAAAACTCAGGTGCCCATACCGATAGTACCAAAGTCATAAAGTGTCTTGCACTAAAGTCTCAAAACAAAGAAGCTTCTCATAGTACATTTTGATTGGAAATATTTTGTTGTGAGTTATGTGTACCTTCATTATGAGACTTCCATTCTTGGTTCTGATCTCGCATATGCTATCTTTAGAGACAACATCATGTCCCCTTAATAGAAGCTACCCAACACTTAAAAGATTGTGTTTTAATCCTGGAACATAATACACATCAGTGATTCTTTTTGCTTCATTCTTTGTCTTAACGATAATATCTCCTTTTCCATCGACTGTAAGCTTCTTGTTGTCACCAGTCTTCACTTCATTTTGAAGAGATTCATCCAGAGTTACGAAAATATCATTTATTCCTGCCATGTAATTACTGCAACCACTATCAAGATACCATATAGCTTCAGCACTTGTTTCTTGGACATTAGGAAAATAAGGCTTTGATTATCATCTTATTGTTCATGCATTAGATTGGTTTCCACCTGATTAGAATTAGTCTTTTTAGATCAATAGTCTACTTGAAAATGCTCATAGCGTCCATAATTGAAGCATTGTATGTAAGGAAAATCTTCACGACCTCCACCTCTACTTGAACTTCTTCCCCTTCCTCTATTTGAAGAAATTTGATTATCTCTTCTCTCTGACTCAAAACTTTTGAAGTCATTGGCCTTCCATTTCCTTGACCACTACATCCACCTCTTCTTCCACTAAAACTCCCTCTAGAGAAGTCTGCATATGAAAAGCTTCTTCTGAAGGAGTAGAACCAAATCCCTTCAATCTAAGCTCATGAGATTGGAGAGATCCCATCAAGCTATTTATGGAGAGAGTTGACAAATCTTTGGACTATTCAATTGCTACTACAATGTGCTCATATCTTCTGGTCATGCTTCTAAGGATCTTTTCTACCACTATTTGATCTTCAATTACAAGATCTCCATTTGATCTCAATTTATTAACAATAGAGAGAACACAATTGAAAAATTCTTCAATGGTTCCAACTTCTTTATTCTAATGATATCAAATTCAGCTCGAAGTACTTGCAATCTTACCATTCTAACCTTTTCCTTTCCTTCATACAAACTCTACAATTCGTCCTATGCTGCTTTAGCAGTTGGACTCCTTAAATTCTTTCAATGATATTTTCATCTACAGCTTGGTAGATAAAAAAACAATGCCTTTTTGTCTTTTTTTCTAACATCTCTCAACTCGTTGAGTTGTTGTGAAAGACCATCCTCCCCTTCTAGCTCCAAATATCCTCTATCAACAATATCTCAAAGATCTTGAGATCCATAAAGAACCTTCACTTGTTGACTCCAGCATCGTCTATAGTTCTTTCCTTCAAAACGAGGAAGTTGAGACTGCAACATGTTGTCAGATAACATCTTTTGAACTTGGCTCCGATACCACTTTGTTGGAAATGTTGATAAGCCATCACTTTCACTATAAAACTCACCAACTTTGAAGAGAAGAAATTTGTTCTCTTATGAAGCTCAAGAACACACAATAGAAGACTATTGTTCTCTTTTTTTTCTTGATTGAAATACTTCAATTTCCTTCTTCTTGGTTTCAAACGAGGGAAGTGATCCATTTATATAACATCCCAGAGACACCTCTAAAAGACAAAAAATAAATATGGAAACATGTATACACACCATTCATGTATCTCAATACATTAACTTACATGTATCTAATAATTCATGTACTTAGGAATTCATGTGTATAGTACATGTACCTAGGAATTCATGCATGTGTATAGAAATGAATCTACTAGCTTAAATTCTAACCGATATCAAATTATATTTTCTCCTTTGTTGCAGGAGATTTTAAAAGTTTGTTTGGGTGTTTTAGCTGTACAAAACAACAAACCATACAACAATATGCATATGACAAATGTTGATGAGGTGTGTTCATCCATAAAAAAAATGCTCCAAGAACTGCCTCCCCTTGCTGAAGAATGCAACATCCATCGAGTTCCCAGACGACTACTTAAAAGAAACCTTCAAGCCTATATGCCTCAAATCATCTCCATTGGCCCTTTCCACCATGGGCGGCAGGATCTGATGCCCATGGAACAACATAAACTTCGATTTCTCGATCGATATCTACGTCGTACAAATTTCGGAATTGAGGTCACTGTTGGCATTGTCCGGAGTTGGGAGACAACTGCTCGCAATTGCTATGCGGAACCCATAAACATGGATAGTGATGAATTTGTGAAAATGATGCTTGTGGATGGTTGTTTCATAGTGGAGCTTATGATGATGGTTTGTCGCATAGGTTCTGAAACTGAAACCCGGTTTGATCCTTTATTATTTTGTGCTATGATGACAGATTTATATTGTGACTTGATAATGCTGGAGAATCAACTTCCCTTCTTCGTTCTTCAAGGTTTATTCGACCAATTTTCACTTGAAGCTGGTTTGTCCTTTCTGCAACTTACACACATGTTTTACACTCGTGGGCCTTTGATAAAACCACGGACACTTGAGCTTCCTCATGGTGTGATGATCTCCACACACAAAGTAAACCACTTGGTCGATTTCTTAAGCTTCTACTACGCCCCAGCCCCAGCCTCCGTCTCTTTTACTAGTCATTCTTTGGCTATTAGTCGAAAGAAGTGTACGTTTCCCCCAACGGTAACCGAGCTTTGGGAGGCTGGCATCGTCTTCAAGAAAGCAATGCGAGCCAAACACATTATGGACATAAGCTTCAAAGATAGGGTCCTACAAATCCCACCTTTGGAAATTGGTGATGTTTTTGAAACCTATGTGCGTAACCTGATGGCATTTGAGCAATATCACAATGATGGGAAGTATGCAATCCAATATTTCTTGTTTTTGAATGGCTTGATCAGTAGAGAGCAGGACGTGAGTTTACTTGTGAAGGCAAACATCATAACCAACTGTATTGGCGGCAATAACCAAGAAGTCTCAACATTGTTTAATGATCTTTGTAAAGATGTCATCGTTCGGGGCGATTGTAACTGCTTCAATCATATCAATGAAGCTTTACACGAGCATTGTGGAGCACGGTGGAACAAGCGGATGGCTTCACTAAGACGTGATTATTTTAATACGCCATGGGCTTTTATCTCCTTTGTTGCTGCTGCTTTTCTCATTCTCCTCACTTTCCTTCAAACCTTATTCTCTGCTATGTCACTTTCCAAGTAAATTAAAGCCCATGTCTCATATACATTTTCAAGTAAAACCTTAATTCTCTGTTTACTTATTTACTTTATTGCATGGGAGAATCTACTACAATAGTTGTGGAAATTTTCCCACTATCATTGTGCTATTAATTGTATGTATATCTCAGATATGGTTGTTAAATAAATCTGTTTAAAACGATTTTCTTATTCAATAATATTTGATATTTTAGTTTTTGTACATCAACTTTATTTTGTCGTTAAAATTTTTGGAGACATTGTTCTAACTTATTAAGAAGTATTGTTTTGACTCGTTAGGACACCGCTCAAGATCACGAAGATTGGAAGATCGACAATTAAAACAGCTTATTAAGGAGTAACACCTACTATTAGATGCAATTACCAATTGCTCTTCTCCTTTTAATAATCTCCATCGAGACGTTTCCTATATGAGCCTCTTCAAACCGGACTTTTTGCTATTGATCCAATGATTCCTATAAGACGCGGTTAGCAAGAATTAATTATTGGAGATAGGCAAACTTGTAAATCTACGGTAGCCACAAATTGAGATTCCAAAACGAAAAACAAACCACCTCCCAAAACTAATTAATTATACGCATATTTAAAAAAATTAAAATTAAAATTAACTAAGTAACTAGCAATAGGAAACTTAGTCAGAGTGGCAATAACCTAGTGATGTAACTCTCAGAGTTATTCTCGGTGAAAAATTACCTTGGGGAGAGAAGTTTTTTTTTAATGATTTAGCTTGAATAGAAGTGTTACAGGCTTATAAATGGAATATTTGGAGGTTAAACATATTCTGCATTATATCGGGAAATTTATAAGAAAATTTATTGAAGTATTTTGCAATAGTGCAGTAGATGTTGGAGCATCGGAGCTAACACTAAAAGCTGAACAAAGGAAAACGATAAAAGTTCTTTTTACTGTAAAAGTATGAGTAAAAGTAAAAGCTCCTAATTTTCACGGGATTCCGTGCACCCCTTAATTGGTTGTTGCCTAAAATTAAGGAAGGGTATCAATGCTTTTAAGCCCAGCCTCATCATCACAATCCCAAGGAAGGGAGAAAAAATTCTAGAGAGAAATATGGGGAGAAAACCAAGGAGGAAAGGGTAGAAAATATTCTACAAGTTTTTTTTTCCTTAGAGAAAATACCGTCAAGGAGAAGGAACTTGACCATGAAGAAGAAGAAGACAGAGATTGGAAAGAAAGTTGGATGACTTTTATACCATGGCTATTTCGAAAGATTCATGCTATTTTTCCTTCATATCTCATTTCTTCTAAATGGGCTGTAACTTCTATCTTTTCTCCTTTGATTTTACAATGAGTTTGAACTAAACTCATTTTTTGGATTATGAACTTTTACTTTTAAACACCAATTTCTAAGAATTTAAGTTGTTTTGCTTGATTAACAAGTTTGTGCTTCATCCATATGGTTTTGATGATTGATCATCATGCTTGAATTGCTAGTTCTATTAGTTTTTAGAAGAATTTGGTAGGATATGAAAGACTTTAATGTGTACAATATCTATTTTCTAACATAGAGTGTGGGTGCTTAGGGATAAGGCTCATTTAGTACAACTATAAATTGTTCTTACAATTCGTTAATTCAAACGGGAGTTTGGTTAACGTAAAATCTAGGTAATCTGGGAAGATACCAAGTCTGTTTAGCTAGTAGTCTTAGCACTTTAATACTAGATGTTGGGGGTCCAACTGTTCGTGGCCGACCTATTCTGGGAACCCTAAGGAAGCCGACCTAACATGTCGGTGCCAAGTACTTAGAAACGAACCAAACGCCAAAGTCCATTTGTTAGGAGCAAGGGAAGGACCGGTCCGAAACATATACCAGAGGTCGCTAGGAGGAATCCGGAGTGGGCAAGGAAGTACACGGATGGGACGGTTATCTACCCTATTGACCGCTATAAATACACCACACCTCCATGAATCCAAGTACGAAAATTTATCTGAAGATGATCTGTTAAGCTCGATTATCTACTGACTTGGGTGTCGGAGTGGTTTACCTCCTTGCAGGTACCCCAGGAATCGCTCCAAGTGCAGCCGTCCGACCTCCCAGGTCGTCTTCCATGCCTTGGTAGATTTTTGCATCAACAATTGGCCCCGTTTGTGGGAAATGACGTTGTTTCCAGATCGCCTAGCCGCTAGCCATGATGGAAGGTTCTTAAACATCAAGCAATCGAGAGCCGAAAGACCCGAAGGCTCGACCAGGCACATTCCAGTCATCGATAGGTCGGAAACTCAAAACCCGAGTGGACTCCCAGAGGTCGAAGTCTCGACTGCAGGTTGAGGTAGTGTTCAACCCCTAAGAAGAGATGGATGTTATGGGGGCCCAGGTCGCAGTCGTAACTGAGGCCCTGCAAACGGCAGGAATGCCGCTCCCCGACCTGCTTTAGCTCGAAATCCAGCGTGACCCCAGAAGGGGAAAGTCGAAGGCCACTGCGGCCGACCAGGAGAGATCAGTAAGGCCGAACCCATCAAAACTCGTCCTTGGAGGGAACGACCGCCCCCGAGGGCGAAGGGGGAGACCCCTCAACGAGGTTAGAGACGGTCAACAACAAGGACCTATTGCAGCAGTTTGAGCAGCTTCGGAATGAGCTCAAGAGCGACCTCCAGATGGTCCAAGGAAAACCGGTCTTGGATGACGACAAGCCCGACGAACCGCCCTTCACCCAGGTCATCTTGACCACGCTGATCTCATCCAAGGGGTGAAGGGATGTGAATCCCGGAGCGGAAGCAGATTTTCGGGATTCAAAATAGAAATTGAAAGAGGGAAAATACAGAGGAAACTTTACCTTTGAAGAACGTTTCTTCAACGAGTTTCTCTCAAACACCACCACTATGTCTTCCTCGCTATCCTCTTAGGTCTCGGGATCGTGCTGGTGGGAGCAATCCTTTGGAACGAGAGGGAAAAATTGAGAGAAAGAGCTTGATCTTTGAGAGAAAAACAATGGGGTTTTTTCTTAGTTTTGTTATGTTTTCTTAAACCATTGAAGAAGAAGAACAATGACGTGGGGTACAGCAACCCCCCAGTCCCCTGCAATTTTGGAGGAGAGTTAATATTAATATTAATATATATATATATAATAATTAAAATATATATAATAATAATATATATATAATTAATTAATCAAATTAATTAATATAATTAATTATTAATCCAATTAATAATTAATAAATATATATATACATACATAAATAATTAACACTTAATTATTTATTATAAAAATAGAATCATATTCTAAAACATTTCTCTCGTATAACCTATAGTTTTAATGTACATCTTATGCACATTATTTTAAACCTATAGTTTTAATACGAATCTCATTCATATTAATTTTATTTGAATCTCATTCAAATAATATCTCTCATAATATATAGTTTTAATTTACAATTAACTATATATATTATAATGTATCAATATACATATAATCCCTTAAGTAATTTGAACAATTCAAATTCTTCCAAAAAATTTGATCATCGTTTTACCCGTTATGAGCTAGCAAGGGGACCTAATGGACCTACAGATCCGAATCTCTAACGATGCAAGATTAATCGGTCAAACTCATTGACCGAGTTAATCTAGATTCGTTAACTACGGGTCATTCCACTAAAGACCCGTAGTTGCACTCTTCTCACTACAGAATGTTTTCGTGTCCATGGATACACGATCATTAATGACGAGTCAATCCTTCACGAGTGTTCGTAACTCATGTTGGGTCAAATTACCGTTTTACCCCTGAGTTACATCTTACTCCTTAAACACCACTGCTCCTCTAATGAACAACCCGGTTATGGTCCAACCAATAACTGTAAGTCCCTCTCGGCCAGTGAGAGGGTGGGGCCCCTTGTTCAAGTCCCGGAGTCAGCATTTAAGGGAACTCTCATCTACGTCCCTAAAGTTGGGGAGGAGTGAATTCCATCTTGTGAAGTTATGTTCCCAGCTCCCCACTCGGTCTCGTCTCCAAAATGGTAGGAATGTTGAGTCGGCGACTCGGGCCACTCTCACCCATACAGATCAAAGGACGAGCCCTCACGGGCAGAAGTTCATAACTCACTCAGGATTGAGAATGAGTTGTCTGGTCATCCTAAGAAATAGCAATCTATTAGTTAACGGTGTTACATCTAAAGATTGCATATTTCGCGGTCCGGTCTTATACAAACTCATTGTATAGGATATCCCCACTCGCATGTCTCCACACGAACGACCTGAATCGAGTCGTCTGTAACCTTTACAGAGTGGGCCGTATCCATAATGTTGTCAGGATAAGGTACCCAGCCTTATCCATAAACTATGGACCCTTTAGGTTATTCACGGGACATTATCCATTCATATATCAGGGGTATATCAAATATATACCCCGTATATCAACTATATACCCAGTATATATACTGTCCCGATTACATCATAAATAACCTTGGATGTTTANGCCGCTTTTCACCCAGGCAATCTTTACTGCACCGATCTCCTCCAAAGGGAAGCTTCGACAAGTAAGATGGGTCAGGCGACCCAGTAGATCCTGGGATACCTATGATTCACTGATGGAGTTTCACGCCTACCCCGACACAATGAAGTGCAGGGCGTTTTCCATGACTCTACAAGGATCAACGAGGAAGTGGTAGCGGCAGTCACTGCCCCACTTCATTTCCTCCTGGAAATAGCTTCGCAAGGCATTCGTAGCCCAGTTTGTAGCTCAGCAAAAGACCCAGCACTCAGCCGAGTACCTACTCACGATAAGGTAAGAGCCAGGGGAGAGCTTGAGAGGCTACGTAAGGAGGTTCCTCGCTGTGCAGATCATAGTATCGTGCAACGAGGAGTTCGCCTCAGGGGGTGTGCCATGAACAGGTGAAATGGTTGCTCGCTAATATACAACATTCGAAGCTCGACCTGCTCACCAAGCACAGCCCCATGCATCGAGACCCAGAGAAGCGCAATCAATCGAAGTTCTGTCACTTCCACAAGGAACACGGTCACGACATCTCCTAAAGGGATACTTCAAGAAGCATATGGGGCGAGCTCCTAGTGAAGGAGGAAATGGGGCAGGCGGTTTAAGAAGAGAGAGGATAGAAAGGGAGAGAACCCAATCTCCCCCAAAGCGGACAGACCGACCTGCCGTAATTAACATGATATTCGGAAGACCAAGTGGTGGCCAATCAGGAAATAAATGCAAGGCTTTGGCCAGAAAAGCCCGCCATGAAGTGTGTGCG